TGCACTCCAGCCTGGGTAACAAGAGCGAAGCTCCGTCTCAAAAAAAAAAAAAAAAAGATTCAGATAAAAAAATCTAAGAAATCGATGTTGTGTGGAGAGGGAAGGAAATGCCTCTCAGGGGACCTGTAGGGGATGAGGGCAGGTTCATTCGCTTGACTGTGGTGATAGTTTCATGGACGTGTGTGTGTGTGTGTGTGTGTGTGTGTGTGTGTGTGTATTTTTTGTCAGCCTAGGCAACAAAATTAATTAATTAATTAATTTATTTATTTTTCTGTCGCCCAGGCTGGAGTGTAATGGTGCAATCTCGGCTCACTACACTCTCCACCTCCCAGGTTCAAGCAATTCTCCTGCCTCGGCCTCCAGAGCGTCTGGGATGACAGGCACCCACCACAATACCCAGCTAGTTTTTGTATTTTTAGTAGAGATGGGGTTTCACCAAGTTAGCCAGGTTGGTCTCGAACTCCTGACCTTGTGATCTGCCCGCCTCGGCCTCCCAAAGTGCTGGGATTACAGGCATGAACCACTGTGCCCAACCTTATTTTTATTTTTTTGAAATGGAGTGTCATTCGGTTGCCCAGGCTGGAGTGCAGTGGCGCAATCCTGGCTCATTGCAACCTCTGCCTCCCAGGTTCAAGCAATTCTACTGCCTCAGCCTCCCTACAGGTGTGCACCACCATGCCAGGCCAATTTATATATTTATAGTGGAGACGGGGTTTCACCATGTTGGCCAGGCTGATGTTGAACTCCTGACCTCAGGAGATCTGCCTGCCTCGGCCTCCCAAAGTGCTGGGATTACAGGCATGAGCCACCACTTCCAGCCATTCACACCACATTTAAATATGGTCAGCTCATTTTATGTTATTTATTCCTTAATAAAGCTATTCAAAGATTCTACACTTTTGGCAGGGTGTGGTGGCTCATGCCAGTAATCCCAGCACTTTGGGAGGGTGAAACGGGCAGAGTACCTGAGGTTAGAAGTTTAAGATTAGCCTGACCACAGCGTCAAACCTGGTCTCTACTTTTTTTTTTTTTTTTTTTTTTTTTTTTTTTTTTTTTTTTTTTTTTTTTTTTTTTTTTTTTTTTTTGAGACGGAGTTTCGCTCTTGTTACCCAGGCTGGAGTGCAATGGCGCGATCTCGGCTCACCGCAACCTCCGCCTCCCGGGTTCAGGCAATTCTCCTGCCCCAGCCTCCTGAGTAGCTGGGATTACAGGCACGCACCACCATGCCCAGCTAATTTTTTGTATTTTTAGTAGAGACGGGGTTTCACCATGTTCACCAGGATGGTCTCGATCTCTTGACCTCATGATCCACCCGCCTCGGCCTCCCACAGTGCTGGGATTACAGGCTTGAGCCACCGCGCCCGGCAAACCCAGTCTCTACTAAAAATACAAAAAAAGAAAAAAAATTTAGCTGGGCATGGTGGCACTTGCTTGTAATACCTGCTACTCAGGAGGCTATGGCAGGAGAATCACTTCAATCCAAAAGGCAGAGGCACGTAGTACATGCTACGTCCTTGTACTTTAACCAAGACACCTGTGCTCAACATGCCCACAGACATATCACAGCTTGCCACTGCTTTCACCTGTTTAAAAAAGTTTTAAGGCCAGGCACGGTGGCTCCTGCCTGCAATCCCCGCACTTTGGGAGGCCAAGGTGGGCGGATCACGAGGTCAAGAGATCGAGACCATCCTAGCCAACATGGTGAAACCCCATCTTTACTAAAAATACAAAAATTAGCTGGGCATGGTGGCACATGCCTGTAGTCCCAGCTACTCGGGAGGCTGAGGCAGGAGAATTGCTTAAACCCGGTAGACGGAGGTTGCAGTAAGCCGAGGTCATGCCACTGCACTCCAGCCTGGTGACAGGGCAAGACTCCATCTCAAAAATAAAAAAAAAAGTTTTAAAGTTGTTAGCCAATTGGGTTTTAGTTTAAATTGTGAGGTCTGGCTCCAGCCAATGGAAATCAGACACAGCAGCAAGGACAACCCAAAATGCATAAAGGCTAAGTATGCCTGCTTTTCCTTTGTTCGTTGTACTGTCGTGGCAAGATGGTTAGTGAGGGCACCCTTCCTGCAGTCCAGAAAGTAAGAACTGCTTTACTGAGAAATCTGCTGTCCCAGGGCTAACTTTTCTTTGTGGTACCTACCATCTGTTTCCAACAATGACCATGAGTGGCACCTGGCTATGGCGGGGAAACTCATTTGGTTTTTCTCATCTTCTTCGTTTTTTACTTTGTGTAGAGAGGAGGTCTCCCTGTGTTGCCCAGGCTGATCTCAAACTCCTGAAGCTGCCTTGGCCTCCCAAAGTGCTGGGATTACAGGCATGAGCTACCACACCTGGCCAGTATGAACATTCCTGATCGGCGGCCCTCAGGTATCTTTCAGCATTCCACTTTATTTGCGCAAAATCTTTTCCTTTTCTTTTAAGATGGGGTTTCACCATGTTGGCCAGACTGGTCTCGAATTCCTGACCTCAGGTGATCCATCCGCCTAGGCCTCCCAAAGTGCAGGGATAACAGGCATGAGTCAACGGGCCCAGCCTGTGCAAAATCTTACACAGTAAATTTTGTTAAGCATTTCAACACATGGCAAACTTCTTTACAGGACGAAAGGGCAAGGGCATGAGGTGACAATGCATACTACATGAGAGTCACTCACAAGGGTGATGTAAACTTCAAGTTACAACAATACACTGTCACAGTAACCCTAGGAAAGACGGGCCAGGCCACGGCTATGGACAGCGCTCAGTGTCTTTGCCAGTCGCCCTTGGGCTTCTGCACAGCCGCTCACCTGTCTTCCATAGAGTCTTCTCTTCTATATGGGGAGTTCCTTATCGTGATCTCCATGCGGTGGTCTCTCAGCTCCCCCTCCTCAAGGGAATCCCGCTTGGAATCCCGGTCATCAGACTAAGAAGCAAAGAGAAAGTTAATCATTTTCTTTATAGATCAATTCTTTTTTATTTGTAGATACAAGTATTTTTAATGATAATCAAACCTGGCCAATATCCAAAAACAAACTTTCATATATACTCTGAATATTACCACATATAAAAAGCTTTCATTCAAATCCCATGACATAAAAATTACAACCCCCTGTAATCGAAAACCTGAGATGAGAAATTAAAAAATAGGATGTATGACAAGGGACATCAGATTCTATGCCGAGTATGTTAGTTGCTTATATGAACCAAAAGTGAGTCCTAAGGAATATTTTACAAACCAAATACTTGATGATACCTCAAACAGTACAGGCATACCTTGGAGATATTTTAGGTTTGGCTCTAGTACACCACAATAAAGTGAGTCGCACAAGCGTTTTGGTTTCCCAGTGCATATGAAAGTTGGTTTAGGCTGGGCCAGGTGGCTCATGCCTGCAATCCCAGCATTTCAGGAGGCCGAGGCCGGTGGATCACCTGAAGTCAGAGTTTGAGACCAGCCTGACCAACAGGGTGAAACTCCGTCTCTGCTAAAAATACAAAAATTAGCTGGGCGTGGTGGCAAGCATCTGTAACTTGGGAGGCTGAGACAGGAGAATTGTTTGAACCTGGGAGGCAGAGGCTGCAGTGAGCCGAGATCGTGCCAATGCACTGCAGCCTGGGCAATCAAGCACGACTCCGTCTTAAAAAAAAAAAAAAAAAAAAAAGCTAACAAAGTGAGCACATGCTATTGGAAAAATGCTCAATGCAGAGTTGCTACAAACCTTTAATTTGGAAAAATTACAGTACCTGTGAAGCGAAGTGCAATCAAACAAGGTATGCCTGTACTCGCAAACATCCCAGAATGATGTTGGGAATCTTAACGGAAGAGGACTTTGCCAATACCTCTTACCAAATTACTAACACGCTTTTCTGAATACACTTATGCAAACCAAGAAGGGTGTAAAACATTTCTGTTAATTTCAAGGCAAATTCCCACTACATTAAAAATACTTGGAAATAGTATTATGAATACACTAATAATGAAATGAGAAAAATTAGTCCAATTTTCTTAATGACTTAACATTCAAAATATTTTATTCTCCACATATGCCCAATCTAGATACAGCTTTAGTGTGTTAACAATCTGCCTTAATTGTTAACTGAATATCTGAATATTTTTGGTAATTTTTAGAATAGATTTTGGGCTCACCTGCGACATTTGGAAGTACAAAAGAACTTCACCGAAGAAGCGTTGTTCTAATGGAAAAATGAGGGCAAAGAAATTAAATCTCCTTTAAGAAAACCACTTACTTAAAAAACATGGCTTACATTTTTTAAGCGTTTTATCTCTGCTTTCTCCTCTTGTTCCTTCCTTCGTTTCTTTTCCTGAAGAATTTCATCTAAAGTTTTCACTTTCCAAGAGTCCTTTTCATCACCCATTTGAGTTAAAACACTGCAAAAAGAAAAATAATTCAGCCTACATCAGGACACAGCAAGCTATGGTTAGATGCTCCATTGTTTCTGAACGCTTGAACTGAGTCACTTTTGGATTCAGAATAAATCCTCATTAAGAATGAAAAGTGTTGGCCAGGTACAGTGGCTCAAGACGGTAACCCTAGCACTTTTAGAGGCCGAGGCTGAAGGACTCCTTGAACAAAGGAGTTGAAAAGCAGCCTGGGCAACATGGCAAAACCCCCTCTCTACAAAAAATACAAAAATCAGCCAACTGTGGTGGCGTGCGCCTGTATTCCTGGCTACTTAGGGGGTTGAGACAAGAGGATCACTTGAATTGGAGAACTCAAAGCTGCAGTGAACCAAGATTGCCACTGCACTCCAGCCTGGATGACAAAGACTCAGTCCATTTAAAAAAAAAAAAAAAAGGTTAAGTTGTAGGCTGAAGCAGGTGGATCTCAAGGTCAGGAGTTGAAGACCAGCCTGGGTAACATGGCGAAAACCTGTCTCTAGTAAAAATACAAAAATTAGCAGCTGGGCGTGGTGGCGGGTGCCTGTAATTCCAGCTACTCGGGAGGCTGAGGCAGGAGAATCGCTTGAACCCAAAAGGCAGAGGTTGCAGTGAGCCGAGATTGTGTCACTGCACCCCAGCATGGGCTACAGAGCAAGACCTTGTCTCAAAAAATAAAAAAAAAAGATGTTGTAAGCCAGTCAAAGTGGCGGGCGCCTGTACTTCCAGGTACTCTGCAAGCTGAGATAGGAAGACCGCTGGAGCCCGGGAGTTCCAGTGTGCTCACAAACAGCCACAGCACTGTAGCATGGGCGACAAAAGAGAGATGGGCTCTGAAAGGTGACTGCTTGAAATCAAATCTCTTTTCCGTCATTCTTGTATGGTCTTGGGTCACGTAATTCCCCTCAGTTTAGTCTTCTGCACAACCAGAGTAACAACACCTACGTGACAGTATCGACCGCGGATTAAAGATCATCCATTTAAGGGCTCTTAGCTCAGGACCTGCCACTCAGCAAGTACAGCTTTTACTGTCACGATCCGCTAGAAAGACCACTGGGACACGCGAAGCCGCTAGCACACTGGACAGCTGCCCCTGAGGCCGCAGGGCTATTTCCTGGGGTTCCGTCAGGCACACCGGAGGCACAGCCTGGCAGACGCTGGCTCCAGGGAGCGTTTGGGCCCGCCGCCTCCACCACCCGAAGTTCCGCGCGGGATGAGACTGACCGGGGAAGCCAGGGTGTCGCTCGCCCCCGGCCCCACGTCCGCCAAGCTCCGAGTCTTGCTGGGATGGGAGAGCACTGTGCGCAGTTCTCGTCGCGCTCCCACATCTAGTCCGCCCAACCGCCACTCACCCCTACGTCGCCGCCGCCGCTGCCGCCGCTGCCACCGCTGCCGCCTCTGCCACCGCTGCCGCCACCGGTCCAGGAGCCTGAGAAAAAACAGCGAACAGCGACAGGCGCGCGCGAGGACTGTCGTCACTTCCTGCGTTGGCGCCTAATGATGACGTGAGCCGGCCTCCGCCACAAAACTCGAGACTGAGACTGGGGCTCGCCCTGAGCGGCACTTCCTGCTTGGGCGCGGATTGATAAGACAGCGCTTGCTCAGGTCCAGGACTCCAGAAGAATCAGCGCCTTGAGCCACACTTCCGACTTCGGCGCGGGCTGGTGACGCACGAATCAGGGCGCCGAGCGGAGCGACTCCTGCTTTGGGAGCAGTTTGCGCCTGCGCGGAACGCGTGGCCGGCCGCCGGAAACTGACTGCTTCCGGCCCCAATGCCCGCGCCGGCTGCGAGGCTAGCGAGTAACCCTGCCTTCGCTTGGGACGCCGCGTTAGACCCCTTGACCCCTGGGGCCCCCAGTTTGGCGGTGGGTGGAGCCCGCCCCATTTACCTGCTGGTTACCTCGTGAGGTGCGTCTTGTAAAGGCCCATCCCGGAGTTTAACTCTGAACCTTACGCAGAAACAGGGCAGGGAGAGCTTTTACGACGTGATTTTATTTATTTGTGTGTTTACTTTACAGTCGGAGTCTCGCTCTGTCGCCCAGGCTGGAGAGCAGTGGCGCGGTCTCGGCTCACTGCAACCTCCTCATCTCGGGTTCAAGCGATTCTCCTGCCTCAGCTTCCCGAGTAGCTAGAACCACAGGCGCCCAGCTAATTAATTTTTTGTGTTTTTGGTAGAGACAGGTTTCTCCGTGTTGGCCAGGTTGGTCTCGAACTCCTGACCTCAGGTGGTCCGCCCTTCTTGGCCTCCTAAAGTGCTGGGATTACAGGCGTCAGCCTCTGCGCTTGGCCTTTTACGATGTAATTTTTATTTTATTTTTTTGAGACAGAATCTTGCTCTGTCGCCCAGGCTGGAGTGCAGTGGCCCGATCTCGGCTCACTGCAACCTCCGCCTCCCGGGTTCAAGCTATTCTCCTGCCTCAGCCTCTTAAGTAGCTGGGATTACTGGCATGCCCCACCATGCCCAGCTGATTTTTGTATTTTTAGTGGAGACAGGGTTTCACATGTTGGTCAGGCTGGTCTCGAACTCCTGATCTCGTGATCCGCCCACCTTGGCCTCCCAAAGTCTTGGGATTAGAGGCGTGAGCCACCATGCCTGGCCTTTTACAATGTGATTTTAAAGCTGACAGTGCTTGTGCAGACAAACTGGGTAAGGTGCTAACCCCTAACTCCCAAGGCCCCACTCCAAACCTGTGGAATTAGAACCTTCCAGGAGAGGTGGACAAAACGAGTAATTCCCTTTCCATATGTCAGGTTATCTTCTTGACTTGAAAAGTCACATCCTGAATCTCAGGACGGCGATCATGGGAGATAAACATCCGCATTTACTGTGCCCGAAATGGGAAAATGTAAAATGGGAGAAGAAATTGACTAGGGCACAAGAAGGGCGATGGGTATGGGAATTTTTTTCATCCTGGAATGAAATGCTTGTTTTGTGTACCCAAGCTCTCATGTTGCTTCCTGAGTTCTCGGTAATTGGGGAAATCTTTTTTTTTTTTTTAAGAGAAGTCTTGTTCTGTCACCCAGGCTGGAGTGCAGTGGCATGGTATCAGGTAACTGCAACCTCCGCCTCCTGGGTTCAAGCGAATCTCCTGCCTCAGCCTCCCTGGTAACTGGGACTATAGGCATGCACCACCACACCTGGCTAATTTTTGTATTTTTAGTAGAGATGGGGTTTCGCCACGTTGGGCAGGCTGGTCTTGAACTCCTGACCTCAAGTGATCCTCCTGCTAGCCTCTCAAATTTTTGGAATTACAATCATGAGCCACCGCACCCGGTCGAAACTCTCCATTTTACCCTTCCTTTGTGAAATCTGTGAGTACCCAAATGCAGCCATTTATGTCAAACCCTAAGAAAATTGACGCTGGAGGCCACGAGGAGGGGGTGGCCTTGCACTTGTGCTTGTAATGGGAGCTGCCCCAAAGGCTTTTCCCAACCAGAAGTTTGGGTTAAGCCACTTCCGTGAAGACCCTCTGTGAGGAACAGCCAGCCCCACCAGTTAACAGAGGCCGCCACCGCAGAGGCTCCTGTTGCCACTGATGTTTGTGTCAGGACAGCTAACGCCAACTTCTTTCTGCCTGCAGAAGCTTGCCCCTGTCCCAGCCCCTGAGATGAGCCTGTGGATGAACCCTGGATTGCAATCCTTTGCTGTTTGCAAACAGCCTCTTGTTTTTGAGAATTGGTTTCTCTTGCTCATTTTGGGTTGCTAGAAGCTGCTGTAGGCAATAAGAAACTAGCCTTGATCATTTCAGTAGCATCAACACCAGAGTCACAGAAGGAAGAAAGCAAAGCAGCCCATATTTAACATTTATTTGCTGAGCAAAAATCATAGCGGCTACCATGGCTGCTTAGACAAAAATAACAAGGAGGCATCCACAGGATCAGTTACACAGTATCAACCTATCACCACAGCAGAATTAACCAGTGACTCCCTAAGTTAACAGAACCATTTGCTAGAAAGCACTAGTCTAGTAATAGAAATACTGAAATGGGTCACATACAAAACACTACAAACATATGATGTGCCTTCAGTTCTCCATAGTTTGGTATAAAGGAAATAGAATTTCGCTCTGACGTAGAAGATTGTTAACGAATTTTCAAGTTTTCCCGTGTGGGGAAAGTTGCCCTGACTGTCCCTTTTCAAGGTGGAGCCTCCCAACACCACGTGGGCAGGTCAAGACTCTCACATCTGCAGTCAGTCTGAAAAAGCAAGTCAGCTGAATGCCACTTTCAGCCGAAAGACAAATGAAACGGAAAACAAACAGAAAAGGACTTTGCTAGTTAGAACAGTTTCCAACTGAGTTTCCACGAACAAGGATCCAGCAGTCATCAAACTGACAGGCGGCGCACAGGAAAAATGGAAGAAATGCCTCAGATGCAGCAAAGCTGCAGGTTTCTGTGCTCTGAGGGTTCTGGGAGTAGACGACCCACTCTTGTATCCTCAGCCAGAATAGCCAGATTTATCGGGGAGCTGGGACACTGTCATTCTATGAACTAAGGCCCCTAGCAGTGTGTGTATGTATGCTGGGAAAGAATAATGCCCTTAGTACAACACTGGTCAAGGCAAAAGAGAAGTCTGTAATGACATTCGCCCTTACTTCTTCCAACAGAGAAATATTTTCAGGCCTCACTCAGGACGTCATTTGGACAGATGGCAAAAGCTGTCCTGTTCCCGTTACTCCCACTGACCCACCTAAGTGATCCTCTGGGAGCGTGGCAGCAGCAAGCACAGCTCACTGGTTTTGTGGCAAGGATTTTAAAGGCACGCTACAAAGCAGAGTTCTATTTGGCTGATACTCTTTGTACAGCTTTTTAAGATTACTGCTTCTGACTCCGAATGTTAATTTTTCACAAATTACACATTTTGGGTTGTGCAACAGTGTTCTCCTCTTTCCAAGCAGGCAGGTTATTTTAATACTGTTATACAGGGAATTGTGACTGTTGGATTTTCAAAATCTTTTTATGTCATTCAGTAGGGGAAGTTTCCTTGAAAGCCAGAGAGCTGCACATCTGTTAAGTATCGACGCAAGTAAGCAGATCACCCAGTCCAGGAGGTGGTTCAAGAGTTGTGTGTGTTTGCAAAGGCACGGACAGTGACCATGGACACACCCAATGGAAGTCACGACACGCAGTGCCAGTGTTTCTGTAAGCACATCTGTGACCATTCAACAACTTACTATTCTATAAAAGTATTAGACAAAGTGGTTTAAACAATGTGTCTGTACACTCGTTAAAATGGCCCAGCCAGGCCTTGGGTTTTGCCTCTGGTGCTGGGCTGTTATGGGAATGCCTTGAAGATCAGTGAGCGGAAACCGACTTGGGTGTGGAGAGGCAACTGAGGGAGAGGGAGGGGATGGCGCACCCCGGTAAGTACACAGTGCTGGCCACTGCATGGGCTCCAGGTTCCTTCTGCCAGGATGAGGAACAGGCCCCAGGGCAGCGTTACACAGGAAATCACCCTATTTGTTAATCATCTGGAAAAACATTTGGTCCACAAACAAAATCAAAACAGGCTGGAAGCTCCTTGTGAGGGTGGGTGGGGGGGGGGGGCACCACAGAATATGCGCCGGAAATCCAAAGGTGCTCAGAACCAGGCGCCTGCATCTCTCCTTACACCAGAACCGTACTCAGAGGCCAGTGGGAAACCTGGCAGCCACATTCTCCACGGGGGTGTGGACAGGGCCACCCTGGGGGTTGCTTTCAATTCTGATGCTCACAGATCACCAACCCCCACCCATGCCACCTCCAGGGCATTTTCTTTCCATTAGCTTTTGAGGAAAGAGAAAAAAGAGAAATGGAATCCCGGGGAAAGTCCCATGAGAAAATGTGTCTTCACGGTGCAGTGGGTACACACCAGCCTGTCCTCCAGACCCAGGTCAGTGGTTTTATAAAAGTGGCTGGAAGCAGGTGCAGTGGTACACGTCTGTATTCCCAACACTGCGCGAGGCTGAGTCGGAAAGACTGCTTGAGCCCAGGAGTTCGAGACCAGCCTGGGCAACACAGTGAGATCCCCATCTACAAAAAAATTAAAAAATCAACCAGGCATGGTGGCATATGCCCATGGTTCCAGCAACATGAGACTGAAGTGGGAGGACTGCTTGGGCCTGGGAGGTCAAGGCTGCATTGAGCCAAGATCATGCCACTGTATTCCAGCCTGGGTGACAGAGCAAGACTGTCTCAAAAAAATAAAAAGGTTGCTTGTGGGTTAAAAAGACCCATCATCACGGCAGACTTTGAGTAGGTAGAAGCTATGAGTCATCATTATTACTCTGTTTCTGGACAATTTTATCTTCAAGAGGTGCTATTTTTATATTTTCCAGGCAAGAAGCCAAATGGAAAACCAGTGAAGTGACCACGGGTGCCAGAGAGCTGAGGAGCAGGGCGGGGAAGTAAGATGTGGGGCCACTGACAAGCCCTGAAGCTGGCTGGCAGCAGACTGCACCAGCTGAGAAACGCGCTGGGTACGAGATGAGGGGTGAAGAGCTCAGGCACGGTCAGAAGCCTCTGCCTGACACACGGTTCCTCCTGCGCCCTGGGGTGCGTGACGCTGAGGACGAAGGAGGAGCCGAGCTGGCCGGTGGTCAGCGTTGCAGGGCCACTATCCCTTGGGGAGAGTGGGCTGTGGGGTGCGCACCTGACACACAATGTGTCCCAGAAACATTCAGTGAGCGCTTCCTTTCTCAGCAAGGACCGAGTCTGTGTTAATGCCACACAGCCCAAACCATCAACACTGCAACGTCCTGCCCACGTGCTCACGTGGGGAAACGAACGGGTACTCCAGGATGAGACTGGGAGCGGTGGGCTCCAAGGGAGGACAGGCGCACCCCACTGGGACCTCAGAACTGCCTGCCTGACACCGAGTCCAAGAAAGAAAAGGAATGTACACATCTCCTCCTCCCCTAGTTAAACACGAGGGGTTTGTCCTCAACCTCAGGGCTGGAAACCACCACAGGTAGGAGGGCACGGCGCCCCAGCGAGGGGTGGGGCTCACAGCCCAGGGTGTGGAAGGTGATGAGCAGGGTGCTCCAGAGGGGGGGGTCTCATGCAGCCCAGGGTGTGGAAGGGGTAGAGGACTTTCCTCTTCACAGGGTAACTGAAAGGCCTCCTGGTCACAGCCCTTGAGTGCCATCATAGCCTGGGGCTTTCGATGCCTCTGGGACAGTCTGAGCCAGGTGGGGTGAAGCTCTGAGCACCTGCGGTGGCAGCAGGAGACCTTTCTGTCCACCCCCGTCGGCCCTGCTCTGTGGCCTCATGCCCAGAGCCAGTCTGCAGCTGGTCCAGGGCCTCAGGGCCTTTGAAGGCTGGTGTGGGAAGCTGAGTGCTCTCTCGGCTCTAGCAGGGAGCAGCTCTTGTTGGCATTGGACCCAGCTCTGGTTCCCGGTGGACCCTGCGGTGCTGCCCAAGTAGGACATGGGCACCGTGCTCAGCATGGGAGCCACAGAGGCTGCTTTCACATTACACGGGGATGGGCTCGACTGACGCGGGCTCTGCTCTCCACTCCAGGAAGCTGATACCTGGAAGCCCATTTGCGTTTCCGCTGGTCTCCACCGGAAAACCGAGAATGGAGCAGTAAAGGCCCAACTCAGCACCCCGTGTCCTGCAGCGCAGCAGGGCTGTGGAGGAGGGCATCCCTGCCCGTTTCCAGGGATGCGGCGTCAGTGGACAGCAGCGGCTGGTGGCATCCTGCACTCAGGGGTGCTGCCTGGGGTCCTGCGTAAGCAGTGGCTCCCCGGGGTCCTCGGGCGCTCGGCCGGTGGCTGCAGCCAGGCTCTGCAGTGCCTCCTGCTGGTGCTGCCTGGCCTTGTTGTAGAGCAGGACCCCGACCGTCACCAGGGCTGTGCCAACGGCCGACAAGCTGGTGATCTTGTTGCCAAAAACGATCACGCTGAGCCAAATGGACAGGGCGTGCTTCACGGTGCTGGCGACACTGCAGAGATGGGGGTGGGGGCAGCCGGGGAGCTCAGCGTCAGGGCTACCCTGGCTGGCAGCCAGCAGCTCAGCTGAGCCTGGGTCTAGAGGCCGGGCTGCTCTGGGGGACCCGGGTGGTGGTGAGCTCTGCCCAGGGGGTTTGGGAACTTTGAGGGGGGCTTGCCTGCTCCCTCGTCCCTTCTTTCTTTTTTGCGGGATACTTTTCATTACTAAAAGTTAGAGGAAGAGAAACCTGAGGAACAGTCAAGTCCCATGATCCAGATGCAGGAGTCCATGACATCCGCCTCATCAGCTTCATCCAATTGAGGTGGGTCTCACTATGTTGCCCAGGCTGGTCATGAACTCCTAGGCTCAAGAGAACTTCTCACCTTGGCCACCCACAGTGCTGGGATCACAGGTGTGAGCCACTGCACCCGGATGAAATATTTTTAAGTAACTTACAGATACTGTGACATTTCACCTGAGTGCTTCAGCCTGCTCGCTGAAGAACAAGAAAAAGATATTGGCTGAGCACAGTGGCTCACACCAGTAATCCCAGCCCTTTGGGAGGTTGAGGTGGGTGGATCACAAGGTCAGAAGTTCAAGATCAGCCTAGCCAACATGGTGAAACCCCATCTCTACTAAAAATACTAAAAAATTAGTTGGGTGTGGTAGCACGCACCTGTAGTCCCAGCTACTCGGGAGGCTATGTCAGAGGAACTGCTTGAACCCAGGAGGTAGAGGTTGCAGTGAGCCGAAATCATGTCACTACACTCCAGCCTCAACTACAGAGCGAGAGTCTTTCAAAAAAAAAAAAAAAAACAAGAAAAGAAAAAGACAGGGGCCGGGCACGGTGGCTCACGCCTGTAATCCCAGCACTTTGGGAGGCCGAGGCGGGTGGATCACGAGGTCAAGAGATCGAGACCATCCTGGTCAACATGGTGAAACCCGTCTCTACTAAAAACTACAAAAAATTAGCTGGGCATGGTGGCGTGTGCCTATAATCCCAGCTGCTCAGGAGGCTGAGGCAGGAGAATTGCCTGAACCCAGGAGGCGGAGGTTGCGGTGAGCCAAGATTGCGCCATTGCACTCCAGCCTGGGTAACAAGAGCGAAACTCCATCTCAAAAAAAAAAAAAAAAAAAAAAAAAAAAAAAAAAAAAAAAAAAAAAAAAAAAAAAAAAAAAAAAAAAAAAAAAGAAAAGAAAAAGATATCGTGACATTTCACCCCTGAGGGCTGCAGCCTGCTCTCTAAAGGCCAAGAAAATCAAAGTTATCGTGGCATTTCACCCTGAGTACTGCAGCCTGCTCTCTAAAGAACGAGAACATCTGCTACACACCCGTGGCGCCTTTACAGCCCTGGGAACAACAATCCCCTGAGATCACCAGTTAGGTGAAAAAGGGCACCACACAGAAAATGTTAGGGCTGTGCAAAAATACAGGTGCTGTGAAATACCCTTTGCAGACTTTCCATAATAAGCACTTGGGGCTCTTACAATATGAACTTTGATAAAACAAAAAAATACTACTGAAAAATAATTGGGCTGGATGTGGTGGCTGAGACCTGCAGTCCCAGCACTTTGGGAGGTCAAAGGTGGGTGGGTCACTGGAGGCCAGGAGTTCAAGACCAGCCTGGACAACATAACAAGATCCCCCCTCTCAAAAAAAAAAAAAATTACAAGAATTAGCCTGGTGTGGTGGCAGACATCTGTTATCCCAGCTACTCGGGAGGCTGAGGCGGGAGGATCACTTGGCCAGGAGGCAGAGGTTACAGTGAGCTGAGATGGTACCACCGCATTCCAGCCTGGGTGACAGAGCAAGACCCTATCTCAAAAAATAAAAAAGTTTTCTTTTTTTGAACCATCGCTAACAATCACTAATGTTCATTAAAACACTAGGTTTCAGGAGCATTTGGAAATACCTGACCCTCAAAAAAAATAAGCTGGTGAGAGACAGTGACCAAGCCCAGGAGACCACCATGAGTTCCAGAAAAACTAAGAAAGCACAGCCATTCTTCCTGTCTCTGAGACACATCCTGCTCAGGACTCAGGAAGCATGCAGCGAGGCAGTGCCATGGATGAGGCGACCCGGTGAGGAGGGGCATGCTCCTCAGCTGCGGAACACTGCATGCACCACGCACAGCTACCACCTCGGATGGGCATTGTGAATTTACCGCACTGACTTGGACCAGATGGAAAGCAGAAAACAGGGAGAGCCACACCTGAGTGCTCCCCACCCCCACCAGCCCTGACGTCTGCTTTTCCCTTTACATCTGGGGACAATTCTGCCTCCTCATGACAGATCAGATGTTTCAGAAAAAAGGTCCACTGACTTCCACAATAGGATATGAGGGGGCGGCTGCTGATACCAGCTGCGTGGATTTCTACAACTGCTGGTGACATAAGCTCATTCCTTTTTATTTGCTACCAAAGTCTCCAGCCTTATTGCTTTTTTTTGAGACGGAGTCTCACTCTGTGGCCCAAGCTGGAGTGCAGTGGTGTGATCTTGGCTCACTGCAACCTCCGCCTCATGGGTTCAAGTGATTCTCTCACCTCAGCCTCCCAGGCAGCTGGGACTATAGGTGCCCGCCACCATGTCTGGCCAATTTTTGTATTTTAGTGAGATAGGGTTTCACCATGTTGCCCAGGGTGGTCTTAAACCCCTGAGTTCAGCCAATCTGCCCGCCTCGGCCTCCCAAAATGCTGGGATTTTAGGTGTGAGCCATTGCACCTGTACTCCCAGCTACTTGGGAGGCTGAGGTGAGAGAATCACCTGAACCTGGGAGGCAGAGGTTGCAGTGAGACAAGATCACGCCATTGCACCCCAGCTCTGGGTGACACAGCAAGACTCCATCTCAGGAAAAAATAAAAAATAACTAAAAAAAACCAGCACCTTCGTTCAATCTGTCCAGTCCGAAGGCCCCGTGCCCCGAGTTTCCACAGCAGCATGCTGCGGAGCAGGAGCCGGTGGCCACAGGCGTCTTTTCAAGCTCAACTACAGTACTCGGCTAGAATGAAGAACCTGGTTCCTGTCACATCCTCCACATTTGAGGCGCTCAGAAGCCGTATGCACCAGTGGCTCCTGTACTGGACAGCCCAGAAGAGACCATTCCATTCCTGCAGACAAGACTAGTGAAACGCCATGCTATTCTAGACAGAAAAGTACTCCATTTCAAAAATCTTCAAATGCAACGACTTCTAGTGGGGATTTCCCTAAAAACCTGTTTCACACAATTTACAGTTTATTTCACAGTTTACCATTTTTTTTTTTTTCCTTTGAAATGGAGTCTCACTCCTTTCATGCAGGCTGGAGTGCAGTGGTGTGATCTCGGCTCACTGCAACCTCTGCCTTCCAGGTTCAAGCGATTCTCCTGCCTCAGCCTCCCAAGTAGATGGGGTTAGAGGAGCCTGCCATCACATCCGGCTGGCCTCGATCTCCTGACCTCAAGCAATCCGCCTGCTTCGGCCTCCCAAAGTGCTGGGATTTCAGGCATGAGCCACTGGGCCCAGTCTATCATTTGCATTTCAAACAGGACGGGTATGAAAAGGCCTAGTAATTACAGAGCACAGCCACAGTCATCCCTGCAGAAAATCACGTGTCCCTTACAAAAATACCTGGACACACTTGAGGGAATGTGCTCTCTTTCTAGGTTAGCCAGGGGACATAGTTTTAAGGTCAAGAACTTCCTGGTGCCACACCCCCGCCCACCTCTCTCCTTCTGGGAGATTTAACAGTTTCTGTTTGAATTTCGCCAGTGTGGGAAGAAACTAAGAGTCACTCACTCCAGCGGAAGTTGTAAGAAACTCCTTTCATTGGTCCGGGGTCTTAGAGAAAGTGGGGGTTCCTTCCGGGTTAAAAGTCCCCTTCTTCCACACCCCTTCGGACTCCATGCTTGGGTCCCCTTCCACGAACACTCTCTCGTGGAAGCCGTCTTTCTCTCTCCTGGATCTCCCCTCTGGGGTCCCCTTCCACACTCGTGGAAGCCTGCCTTCCCTCCTAAACTCCATCTCTCTCTATTCCCTTCCACTCAGTGTGGAGGCTGCTCTCCTCTCCTGGATTCCCTCTTTCTGGATTCTCTCACTCAGCGTGAGAGGAGCTTTCCTGCTCTGGCTTTCCCCCTCTGGAACCCTTCTCACTCAGTGTGACAGCGGCTTTTCTTTCTCACTCAGTGTGACAGTTTTTCTTTCTCAGTGTGAGAGCTAGCCGTTTCTCTCTCCTTCTCCTTTTCTCTCTCTGCTTTAAAATTAATCACTTTCCGTACACACTTTTGAGTTTGGCATTTACTGCGCACTGTGCCGCGGTCCCCTCTCATTCTCGAAAGGGCAGGAGACCTGGAACCTGGAGAAACGTCCTCTCAGGGGAGCCGAGGACACCCTGAACCCCAGTATTATACACTAACCTCCCAGCAAGTTCCTTGGCTCACCTGAAAGTCACAGGGGAGATTTTCCCCATGAGGGCGTAGGCGGTGACACTCTGAAGGTGGAACAGGACTCCGTCTGTCAGAAGCAGCAGCACAACGTCCTGGTTGTAGTTGAAGCTCTTCCCACTCCTCCCAAGCACTGGGACGTCCTATGTGGAAAACAAAAAGATACTCTATTGGGGTGCGTTTTCCATGTACTAATCATCCACCACAAACACCAGCGTCACTCCCACATGGTCACTGTGCAGAGCTGGCGACACTGAGGGCAGCTCTGGAAACGCCTTGAGGGGACACCTGAACTGCACGCTCACCCGTTTGCTGCTTTTTTCTGTTTTTATTTTTTGCACTGATCAGGCTTCAACATGTGGATGTAAATAGCCAACAAGCACGTGAAAGAGGCTGAACGTCATCGGGCACAGGAAAATGCAAACAGAAACCACAGTGAGGGGCCGGGCGCGGGGCTCACGCCTGCAATCCCAGCACTGTGGGAGGCTGAGGTCGGCAAATGACAGAGGTCACAAGTTCTCAATGAGCGGACCAACAAGGGGAACCCCATCTCTACTAAATTACACAAGTTAGCTGGGCGTGGCGCGCGCACCTGTAATCCCAGCTACTCGGGAGCTGAGGCAGGAGAATCCCTTCAACTCAGGAGGTGGAGGTTTCAGTGAGCCAAGATCAAATCATTGCACACAGGCTTGGGCAACGAGTGAAATTCCGTCTCAAAAAAGGAAAAAAAAACACAAAAATCTACATATACTTTCATATCTAGTTAGCAGTTGCTTCTGATACCTTGAAATACTGTTTGCCCTCATCACTACATCAAATTACCATAGATATTAGGCTTACTGCCAGACCTGGTTATTATTTAAAAAAATTTTTAATTGTTTAGAGACTGAGTTTCACTCTTGTCCAGGCTGGAGTGCAATGGTGCAATCTCAGCTCATTGCAACCTCTGCCTCTCAGGTTCCAGCAAATCTCCTGCTTCAACCTCCCAAGTACCTGGGATTACAGGTGCCCACCACTGCGCCTGGCTAATTTTTGTATTTTTAGTAGAGATGGTGTTTCACATCATGTTGGCCAGGCTGGTCTCGAACTCCTGACCTCAGGTGATCTGGCTGCCTCGGTCTCCCAAAGTGCTAGGATTACAGGTGTGCGCACCACACCCGGCCCTAGGTCTGGTTATTCCATGAGTTAATAAAGAGGTACCTATTAAAAGTGATACTAAAAAACAGAATTGAAAGCAGGGTCTCAAAGGGTATTTGCATATCCATGTTCACTACAAAATTATTCAAATAGCCAAAGGCAAAAAGAACCGACAATGGATGGATGAAGAAAAGAATGTGGTCTTACCCATACAATGGCGTATTACTCAGCCTTAAAAAGGAAAGAAGGCTGAACACAGGGGCTCACACCTGTAATCCCAGGAGTGAGCCACTGTTGAGAAGCCGAAGCCAAAAGACTGCTTGGGCCCAGGAGTTTGAGACCAGCCTGGGCAATACAGTTAAGAACCTGTCAATATAGAAAATAAAAAAACTTGGCCGGGCATAGTGGCTCACGCCTGTAATCCCAACACTCTACAAGGCTGAGGTGGGCGGATCATGAAGTCAGGAGATTGAGGCCATCCTGGCTAACAGGGTGAAACCCCACCTCTACTAAAGTACAAAAACATTAGCTGGGCATGGTGGCGACACCTGTAGTCCCAGCTACTTGGGAGGCTGAGACAGGAGAATCACTTGAACCCGGGAGGCGGAGGTTGCAGTGAGCTGAGATTGTGCCACTACATGCCAGCCTGGGTGACAGATCAAGACTCCGTCTCAAAAAAAGAAATGCATAAATAAGATAAAAAGGAAGGAAACTCTGATACATGCTACAGCACGCATAAACCTCGAAAACGCATGCTACGTGAAACAAGCCAGACACGGGCAGGTATGATTCTGCTTGTATGACGTCCTTAGAGTCATCAAATTCAGAGACAGCGAGAGGAATGGGGGTGCCAGGGCTGGGGGACGACAATGGGGAGTATTTAATGAGTACAGTGGTTCAGTTTTGCAAAATGAAGACGGTTCTGGAGATGGGCAGCAGTGATGGCCACACACAGTATCTACGTACTTAATGTCACTCAGCTACAGTGAAAAATAGTTAAAATGGCGGCTGGGTGCGGAGGCTCACACCTGTTATCCCAGCACTTTGGGAGGCTGAGGTGGGCGGATCACCTGAGGCCAAGAGTTTGAGACCAGCCTGGCCAACATGGTTGAAACCCCGTTCTCTACTAAAAACACAAAAAATTAGCCAGGCATGGTGGTGCATGCCTGTAATCCCAGCTACTGGGGAGGCTGAAGCAGGAGAATAGCTTGAGCCTGGGAGGTGGAGGCTGCAGTAAGCAGAGACTGCACCTTTGCACTCCAGCCTAGGAGACAAAAACAGACTCTAAAAAAAAAAAAAAAAAAAAGTTTTTCTAAGAAAAAAAGAAATTAAGCTAAGCTAAAAGTCCTCTCAAGTTGAATCATGAAGAATCAAAACAATCAACACACAAAAATCTGAGGTGCAAACCCTGAGCAGCTCCTTGAGCAACTCAGCTCAGCAGGGCCCGCGGCGGAGCTGGGCGCGACCAGCCAGCGCACAGCCTGGAAAGGGAATTCAGTCTACTCCTGAATCGCCAGATGAGGCAGCCGGGCATGCAAGGATGGGAGCCTGTTTCTGAAACCCACCGTGAAGAAGACCCGGGCTGGGACGAGCATGGCCACTGCGGCGGCGCTGGTGTAGAACTGCAGCTCCGGGGCCCTGTGGGTGACAGAACACACTGGGTCCTGCCATGTCCAGACCACAGGCAACAGAACACGCTGGGCCCCCACCGCGTCCGGACTGGTGGCAAGAGAACATGCCCACTGCATCCGGAGGCCGAGTTCCCACACAGCTCCCTCACAGCAAGACCACACCCAGGCAACCCAGCCCATGGCACGTTCACTCTCTCCCGAGCTGACAAGGGCCACGGCAGCTTCCCAGAAATGAAAAGGCAAAAGGGCACCAGGCTGGCTGAGGGGCTGCAGGGAGCAGCTGCGTACCAGGTGTGTCCCTCCGGAGCTTAGAGCGGAAGGGAGTCAGGTCTGAGAGGTGTCCTGACTCTTAAAGTGGGCAGGAAGTCCTCTTTGTCTATGACTTGGAAATTTCAGTGATGAGTAATACTTACGAGAACCTGTATTTGTCCCCGCTGAGAAGCTTTTTTGAAAAAACATTTTGCAAACTAGAACAAAGAAAAGAAGAGGGTAAGTATCAACACTAGCCCTTGGCACAAAGCATCGCGGGAAGAGGTGTCTGTGCTCACACGAGCAGCAGGACAGCCAGACCTCAGTGGGCGGCTGCTGAACTGCTGAGCTGGTGCCTGGCTGGGGGTGTCCAGGCAGAGCACACAGGGAGGTTTACCCCGTAGAGGTGGGTAAACCGAGGCATTCAGAGAGTGGGCGATTTGCCTGAGGCCACTCATCGCTTAGCTGTCAGAGGACCCCAAAGGCCCTGCCTGCCAGCACTTCACAGAACTCTCTTTTGAATAAAGAGCTCCTGTAAGCCGGGCGCGGTGGCTCAAGCCTGTAATCCCAGCACTTTGGGAGGCCGAGGCGGGTGGATCACGAGGTCAAGAGATCGAGACCATCCTGGTCAACATGGTGAAACCCCGTCTCTACTAAAAATACAAAACATTAGCTGGGCATGGTGGCACGTGCCTGTAATCCCAGCTACTCGGGAGGCTGAGCAGGAGAATTGCCTGAACCCAGGAGGCGGAGGCTGCGGTGAGCCGAGATCGCGCCATTGCACTCCAGCCTGGGTAACAAGAGCGAAACTCCGTCTCAAAAAAAAAAAAAAAAAAGAGCTCCTGTAAATCAGCAGCTGCCACAGCCAGGCACTTGGGGATTCCCAAGGTGTGTGCACGGCTGAAAAAATGATGAAGACCCCAGCAGAAAAATACGCAAAAGGCTCAAAATCAGGACACACAAACCACAGGGAAAACAGATGGCCGCGGAGAAGACAAGACGTGCAGGTGCAGGAGCGGTCAGACCAGAGCCCAGATGGCAGCAGGCTGCCTGTGGACGTGAAAGGGGGGCGGGGTGAGCCTTTTTAGAGATATTTTAATTAATTAGCATATTCATTTTAGAGGCAGGGTCTCGCTCTTCCCCCAGGCTGGAGTGCACAGGCGTGATCATGGCTCACTGCAGCCTTCTCCTGGGCTCAACTGATCCTCCCACCTCAGCCTCCCAAGTAGCTGGGACTACAGGTACGTGCCAACGTGCCCAGCTAATTTTTCAACTGGAAAAGCTTACTTTTTAAATTTATTTTTATTTTTTAATAAAAGAATAGGCTGGGCGCGGTGGCTCACGTCTGTAATCCCAGCACTTTGGGACACCGAGGTGGGCGGATCACAAGGTCAAGAAATCAAGACCATCCTGGCCAACATGGTGAAACCCCATCTCTACTAAAAATATAAAAGTTAGCCCGGCGTGGCGGCACACGCCTGTGGTCCCAGCTACTTGGGAGGCTGAGGTAGAAGAATCGCTTGAACCCAGGAGGTGGGAGGTTGCAGTGAGCCAAGACTGTGCCACTGAATTCCAGCCTGGCGACAGAGCAAGACTCTGTCTCAAAAAATAATAATAATAAAATAAAATAATAGAGGGCTGGGTGAGGTGGCTCATGCCTGTAATCCCAGCACTTTGGAGGCTGAGGCAGGTGGATCACCTGAGGTCAGGAGTTTAAGACCAGCCCGGCCAACATAATGAAACCCTGTCTCTACCAAAAATACAAAAATTAGCTGGGCTTCATGGCGGGCGTTAGCTAGGCATGGTAGCACGTGCCTTCACTCTCAGTTACTTGGGAGGCTGAGGCAGGATAATCGCTTAAGCCTGGGAGGCGGAGGTTGCAGTGAGCAGAGATCATGCCATTGCATTCCATCCTGGTGTCTCAAACAAAACAATAGTAATGATAGTAATAACAGAGACAGGGTCTTGTGTTGTCCAGGCTGGTCTCAAACTCCTGACCTCAGGTGATCTGCCCGCCTTGGCCTCCCAAGCTGCTGGGATTATGGGCATGAACCACCATGCTGGCCTCCAGTGGAAAAACTGAGTTGAGGACAAGGTCAGTAGGGCACCGCTGTGGGCAGGACTGTAAATCAGGCCCCATTCCACAATCTGACAAGAGTAAAGTCCTTTCAGCAAAGTTCAAGGGCTCTGCCGCGGGGCCTTCCTGGAATCTGCCCCACAGGATACTCACGCATTTACACAGATTCTAGAAAAAGATGTTCCCTGCAGATTTAACTCTCAATACAAAGAGCCAGAGGCAGTTTGGCAACATGAGAATCGTGAGGTCATGGCTCAAGTGCACGAAGCCGTCCCGGAAACCAGACTTGCGGAGAATGAAGGACACGAGGCCCATGGAATGGCACAGATGGGACAGGGACAGAACCCACGCCATGCTCCCAAGAACCACCCACACAGAGGGAAACACTGGAGGGAAAGGCATTGAGATGTTAAAAGTGAGATGATTTTTTATGATTTTTACTTTTTTTTTTTTTGGAGATGGGAGTCTCCCTCTGTTGCCCCAGCTGGAGTGCAGCGGTGCGATCTCGGCTCACTGCAACTCCGCCTCCCAGATTCAGGCAATTCTCCTGCCCCAGCCTCCCAAGCAGCTGGGACTACAGGTGCCCACCACAATGCCCGACTTTTAGTAGAGATGGGGTTTCACCATGTTGACCAGGCTGGTCTCAAACTCCTGACCTCAGGTGATCCGCCTGCCTCAGCCTCCCAAAGTGCTAAGATTAAGGCATGAGCAACCATGCCCAGCAAATTATTATTTTTACTTAGCTACGTTATTCAAAATCTCCCCACGAATCTGCTTTGCTTATTAGTAATAATAATGATAAACTCTCGGACACCGTTGGTGGGTGTTTCTCTTCTCAAAAGCAGGCGGAGCCCGGGAGGAGGAGGAGCCCGGGAGCAGGAGGAGCCCGGGAG